GCCCTCACTGTCTTAACAATATATTTAAAAAACAGTTCACAAATTGTGAATCAAGAATGCATTTGTCGTATTTAAAGGACAAGGCGGGTCTTGTGGCCTAGTCCTTAAGCGAGCAGAGTCACACATGGGTGACCACAGTTTGGGTCCTGGTCCTGGTGGCTTGAAAAAACAAAAAAACATGCCAAGCACATGTGCATGCCCAGATCCCGACAGGATGGAGAAGCAAAGGAGGAGGGATTGCAGCATGTCCACTCTCTACTGAGGGGTGTTTCATCTGCTTTCTCTTTTTCTCTGCCCCCTTTTCTTTAGTGAGCACATGTAGCCTCTGGCTTTTAAAAAGAAAAAAAATGAAGACAAAAAAAAAGAAACTTGCCCTAAATAAATGAATTGAAAAGATTCAGTGTACAGCCTGCACCCGGGTAACCGTGTCCTCTGTTACACCCTCCACACTCTCCCTCAGCTCTCCGGCCTCTCCCTTATGGCATCGAGACCCTGTGAGAGGCTGTCTGTCGCTTGGACTCTTTCTCTGAAGAAATAAATGAACTTTTCAAAAATAACAAAATACAATTGAAATATAGATTTGTTTCACAGAATGTCAGACTTTGTACATTTGTATTAAATCAGGCAATGATCCATGCATTCCGTTGTGAAGGATAGAGAATAATATAAAATCGAACATATGATATGCTAGGTTTCATAATTGTAAGGTAAGAGATTAAAGCTGTGTAGACTCTGATATGCAAATCGCCTCTAACTTTATGTCTGTTATTTAATTTTCTACAGTTATTATTGAGCACACAGCAACTGTGAGAGTCTCTGGAATGAGAGAAAATAAAGACATTTACCCTTTTTTAAAGATTATGTTTCAGAGATAGTTTTCCAATTTCCCAGATCTTGTATGCTAATGAGTTGATTCACGAAGTCACTTTTATTTAGGATACTTTCCTTTAAACAAAACATATGAGTGTTTGTTTATATTATTGTGTTGTATGTATGCGTGTGTTTGTTGGAGGCAGTAAACCATGTGGTAGGACAAAATGAAGATTTAAATAACCTTAAACCCTAAGTGTTTCCTTTGATGGCTGTTGCTATTATTTTGCTCTTATGTTGTTAATCATTTTTATTTAAGTATTAATTATACATACACGTATGATAAACTGACCAGCACTACTTATTTCTTGCACAATAAAGGGATATTCAGTATTACCCCTGGGGTACAGTGTCTAAGAGAGAAATCTAAATCTGTGTGTCGTTTGGGAAAATGTCTTGCTTTGCCTGTGATAAACCACAAGTCAACTGTCACTATGTGCTCAGGGTCAGTCTGTTACAGCAAAGGATGTTTCAGTTAGGGCAGATGATAGCATTGTCAGGATAGGAATTAGACATCCACTCAGCACTTCCAAACTCTTCTGTCCCCTTATTATTATTATTATTTGTCAGGTTTCTGCCATAGGGTATGTGCACTCTCTAGAGAGACAAAGAGAGACAAGGAGAGGGAAAGTGAGAAATCACTCCTGAGCGGAGGTGGCCATGCCTCAATCCCCTCTCTCCCACATTGTCCTCCTGGGATTTTGAGCATGTACATATATATATATGCACCTGGAATGATTTTCATGCCACCAAGTCCAGGACTCAAACTGCGGCTGGCTATGTGGGAGTTCAGTGTCTTAGTGTTAATCATTTTTATTTAAGTATTAATTATACATACACGTATGATAAACTGACCAGCACTACTTATTTCCTGCACAAAAGAGGGATATTCAGTATTACCACTGGGGTACAGTGTCTTAAGAGAGAACTCTAAATCTGTGTGCCGTTTGGGAAAATGTCTTGCCCTGCCTGTGATAAACCACAAGTCAACTGTCACTATGTGCTCAGGGTCAGTCTGTTACAGCAAAGGATGTTTCAGTTAGGGCAGATGATAGCATTGTCAGGATAGGAATTAGACATCCACTCAGCACTTCCAAACTCTTCTGTCCCCTTATTATTATTATTATTTGTCAGGTTTCTGCCATAGGGTATGTGCACTCTCTAGAGAGACAAAGAGAGACAAGGAGAGGGAAAGTGAGAAATCACTCCTGAGCGGAGGTGGCCATGCCTCAATCCCCTCTCTCCCACATTGTCCTCCTGGGATTTTGAGCATGTACATATATATATATGCACCTGGAATGATTTTCATGCCACCAAGTCCAGGACTCAAACTGCGGCTGGCTATGTGGGAGTTCAGTGTCTTAGCCACTAAGCCACCTGTTCACTCCTGTCCCCCTGACTTTGATTATTGGCTCTAAGTCTATGATGCCCATTTTGAATTAACGTCCAAGAAATAGACTAGTGTTGCCACTTTTCCTATAGATATTTCTACCAAAAAGAGTCAACATGCTCAAAACCAAGCCCCTTTCCATGTCCTTCATAGCACAGATTCATGGTTCCATAGTTTCAAGTTATCATTTCTGTATAAAACCTCAGTGGCTTTTCCCTCTCTCCATCTATGAGCATGTTCAGTGTTTCATAATCCTGCCAGTTCTAATCGCTATAACCCATCTTTAGATAAACCCTATTCCCACTGCTTAGTTCAGGCTTCCATCATGTCTTTAGAGATTTCAGTGTCCTCCTTGCTTCCATTTTCCCCAGCTGCCCCCTTTTTTTCTCTTAATCAGTGTCCCCGGGCTTACAACAGTTTAACATGTGCTGTGGATACTTGATTGAACACAGTAGCCAGAAATCACTGTAGTGGTGGGGCTTGCATTCCAGTGAGAGGTGTTAACAACGGTCATGATAATCAGTAAGTTCTACAACATGTCAGAAGGTGGTAACTATGAAAAAGTAAGACAAGTGAGGAGAGGAAATACAGTAGGGAGGCTGGGGTGTTTACCTTAAGTAGGTTAGTCCTGGTCCTTGTAAGAGAATGACATTTGAGAAACACTAGAAGGAGGTGAATTTGTAAGTTTGGAAATATTTTGAGGAACTGCAAATCAGACCCTGAGGCAGGAAGATGTCTAGAGTGTTTAAGGAACACCAAAGAAGCCAGGGAGTTTGGGGCAGGGTAAAGAAGGAAAAGAAAAGCAGAGGTGATCTTAGTGATGTAACAGAGCTAGATAATACGGCATCTTTCTGCCCTATAAGAGCCTCTAGCTTTTACCTGGAATGAAATGGGAAGCACTGTAGGATTGTAACTGAAATGCAACAATCTGAATCTAGTTTTACAGAGACTATTCTTGCTACTGAGGTGAGAATATTGTGTTTAAAACACAAGAAAGTATTACAATATTCCTCTTCCTAAACTGATATCTTATTTATTTATTTTTGGAGAGGTTTTTGTTATAGTGTGTGTGTGCACTTGCCAGAAAGAGAGACAGAGAGAGAAAGACAGAAAGCAAGAAATCACTCCCCCCGGGGGGGCTGGCCACACTGCAGTCCCTTCTCCTCCATTCTCCTCTTGAGATCTTGGGCATGCACCCACATGCGCCTGGCATGAGTTTGAGCCACTGGGTCTGGGACTCGAACCATGGTCGACTACATGGGAGTCCAGCAACATAACCATTAGGCCACCTACTAGTCCCTAAAATGTTAGCATCAGAATGATTTCCAGACTCATATAAATGATTAAACTTAATAATTTATTTGATTATTTACATAAACTAATCCCCTAATATCATTCCTTTCAAAACACTCAAAGGAGACCAGCAGTTAGCGTAATGGCTATGTCGCTGGACTCCTACGTAGTCGACTGTGGTTCGCGTCCCAGACCGGGTGGCTTAAAACTCACGCCGGGTGCATGTGTGTGCGTGCCCAAGATCCTGAGAGGAGAATGGAGAAGAAGGGATTGTGGCGTGGCCATCCCCCCCTGGGGTGTGATTTCTCGCTTTCTGTCTCTCTGTCTCTCTCTGTCTGTCTGGCAAGCACACGTGCCCGAAAGCAAAAACCTCTCCAAAAAAAAAACACTCAAAAAACTCAGTCCACAATATGAGGTTCCATAGTTAAGCACTAAGGCTGTGCAGTGCAAATCACAAATGTATAGAAAAACTAATACAGCTAGTCCCTAAGGAACACTTAGTGTGGCTGTTTGAACATGAGCACAGTTTTTCTCTTTACCTCTTATTTATTGTCAGAGGGCATTTGTGCTCACTGGAGAGAGACAGGAGACAGAGAGAGGGAAGTGAGAAAGCAGCCCCCAGTCAGAGCATGGCCACTCTGCAATCCTCTCTCTTTCATTTCTCCATGCAGTCCACCTTTGGGGTATGCACCCACATGAACCCAGTGGGTGCAAGCCACTGGGACCAGGCCCTGACCCTGATTGCCCATATGGGATCTAGCTTCCTTAACCGCTAGGCTATAGGGTGACCCCATGAGCTTCGACTTGAGGAGAGATCAAATCAGTTAGTCAAAGTTAAGGAAGACGTTAAAGCCACTCTTGTTAAAGTGGGCTCAGGTGTGGGGTGCTACAGGAACAAAACAGAGCACAAAACGTCCATACTGCAGAGAGAGACTCGACTTGTTGGGGAGAAGTGGGACAGATGGAAACCAGAGTTTAGGCTATGATGCCGACATAAAAGAGGGGAAGTTATAGATTTTTCAGCAGAAGAATAAAATAACAGACTCCGTTTTTAGACAGTAGCCTGGTAGATGGCTCTGATTTATGGAGGAAGAACAAGCAAAAGCAATTCTCATGAGTCCCAACTTGCTCTCTATGTGAAGGAGCATGTCGTGTCGTGGGTAAAATCATTCACCTGATGTGAGTTGTACTTTTGACCAGAAAGGGCTTCCATTGTTTTCCCAAAAGATTCGTGCCTGACCAAGGGAAAGAAAATGGAGTGGAAAACAAAGGGAGTTACTGCTCCTTTGTGTGCTTAGGTGTGTGTGTTGCTGGCGTGTTTCAGGTCCTAGGCCTTTCAGCGGTATTTATCGTCAAACATATAATGTTAGTGTGTGACAACGACGTCGAACCGAGAGAACGCTGTAAAGTCTGATTTATGTAATAAAGTTGATGTTTTGTTTGTCAGGTAACAGAAACACGGACGGGTCCTCTTGGCTGCAGTAACTATGACAACCTAGATTCTGTCAGTTCTGTTCTGGTTCAGAGTCCTGAGAATAAGATTCAGTTGCAAGGTATGTAGGTTAAATTCCGTTCATTTTCTGTGACACTGGATGACAAATTACCCGGCTGTGATTTCTCTTCTATGTTTTAAATAAGCCATATGCAGTTTTAGGCTGTTAAAAATCTAGAAGCTCATTTTAGCTTTTGTTCTCAAATGAAATATTTATCGTGAAAATTGTCCTGGTATGTTTTTCTTATCTATGGTCATCATTGTTTTAATAAGTAGCAGTTCCACCTAGGCTCACCTGGACCTTAACTTTTTCTTACAGATTGTTACAAAAGTCGTAACCATATTTATTCATAGAGTAACATGAACTATTGACTTTGTCAATTTCATCTGCTATGGCAGTCAGGACTGTATTTGTCTTTCGATAAGTGGAAATATACTTGAGAATATATTAACAAAATACTAATATTAACACTGTTTCCAGTTTGAAGATGTGTTTTGTAGTAATGATAATGATCTGCTATTTTTACCTAGTATCTATATTTTGTTAGCTAATTTGATATAGAGTAGTTTATTCATAATAACATCCAACAAATATGGTTACTAATATGCATATTTGTTCATTCTCATGAACACAAGAGTATTATAAACACACCTGTTTAAACATGTACTGGTTAGACAAATTTAGAAAAGTCTTTGGGATAATCTCACCTTAATTTTGTTTTTTATTCTCTAGCATACCACTTCAAATCGTGTAAATTAGACCTGTATTTACAATATCTAGTTTGGGAAAAGTGTGCTTAAAACTTTCAGAAATTCTGCCTTTTATTCCCTCAACTTTTCAATCTTAAAAATGTAAAATCTTTGGCTTATTTAATCAAAAAGGACAATGAATATTTATACCAATTTACTTAATTGTTTCAATTGGCTAAAAATAAAACATTACTAACAAGACAGTATTTTTTTTTCTGTTTTTTTTTCTTTCTTAAGGTTTTTGCCATAGGACCCATGTGTTAGCTGGAGAGAGACAGACAGAGGAAAAGGGAGAAATCATCCCCCAGAGGGGATGGCCATGCTGCAGTCCCTTCTCCACCTTTCTCTTCCTGGGATTTTGGGCAAGCACACATGAATACTGGAGTGATTTTCAAGCTTGCCACGTCTGGAACTCAATCCGTGGGCCATGTGGGAGTCCAGTGCCTTAACTACTGCATCACCTACAGGCCACAAGACATTAATATATATATTTTTTTTTTTTTGGAGAAGTTTTTGCTATAGGGCGTGTGTGCTCGCCAGACAGACAGAGAGAGACAGAGAGACAGGAAGCGAGAAATCACCCCCCAAGGGGGGAAGGACACGCCGCAATCCCTTCTCCTCCATTCTCCTGTCGGGATCTTGGGCACGCATGCACATGAGCCCGGCGTGAGTTTAAGCCACCGGGTCCGGGACTCAAACCACGGTCAACTACATGGGAGTCCAGCAGCATAGCCATTATGCCAATTGCTGGTCCCATGCTTTTATACCTTCCAATCATTCAGTTTCTGCCATGGAGTGTCAACATTCAGTATATATTGAGTGGGGAAGTATAATGTGTCTCTTTCGTTGTCTGATTTGCTTCACTTAGCAATAAATCTTCCATATTTGTTCACTTTCTATCAAATGCCACGGTCTCATTATTTTTTATGACTGAGCAATATTCTATAGTGTATATGTTCCACACTGTTTCAATCCATTTGTGTGTTTGTGGATATTTAGGTTGGTTCAATTACTTAGTAGTTGTTAATAGTACTACAATAAATATGGATGTGCAAATGTTTTTCTGACTGAGTGTTTTACCATCCTTTGAGTAGATACCCAGGAGTGGAATTGCTGGGTCATATGGTAGTTTTATTTGTAGGTCTTTGAGGAACCTCCATATTGTTCTCCACAGTAGCTGCACTAATTTACATACCCACCAAAAGTGTAGGAGAGTTCTGTTTTCTCCACAACCTTGACAGCACTTAACATTTTTTATTTTTTTTTAAATTTTATCCATTCTGAGTGGGGTTATGTGGTATCTCATTGTGTTTGTTTGTTTGTTTGTTTGTTTTAAGAGAGATTTTTTGTTATAGGACACATGTGCTCACTGGAGAGATAGAGAAACAGAAAACAAAAAATCACCTTCCTGAGGAAATGACCACGCTGCAATCCCTTCTCCTCCATTCTCCTCTTGGGATCTTGGGCATGCACACACATGGGCCTGGTGTAAGCTTTAAGCCACTAGACCCGGGATGGAATTTTCATATGCTTATCCCTTATGATAAGAGATGTTGAAGTTTTTTTCATATGGCTTCTTTAGAGAGTTACACTTGTTCAGCTCATTTTCCCATCTTTTAATTGGGTTGATTTTTATCCCCTTCAGGTAAACTGTTTGAGTTCCCTGTATATCTTTGTACCCAGTCCCTTATCTGAGGCATAGTTTGCAAATATATTTTCCCATTCTGAGGGGTATCGATTCACTCTAATTATTAGTTCTTTTGCTGTGCAGAAGCTTTTTAATCTAATGTAATCCCACTTGTCTATTTTTGAGATTTTTGCCTGTGCTTGGTGGCCTTTTTCAAGAAGCCTTTGCCTACTCCTATGTCTCCAAGAGTTTCCTCTGTTTTTCCCACCAGCACTTTTGTAGTTTGAGGTTTTCGATTTAGATCTTTGGTCCATTTTGAGTTGATTCTTGTTCATGGTGAGTGATAGGGATCCAGTTTCATCTTTCTGAAGGTGGATAACCAGTTTTCATTTGCTAAAGAGATTTTCTTTTCCCCCCTAGTTTGACTGGTGTCCTCTGTCAAAAATCGGCTGACTTTATGTTTGGGGGTTTATTTATGGGGTCTCTATTCTGATTCCCTGGTCTACATGGCTATTTTTGTGCCAGCTCCTTGCTAATTTTATGATCACAGCTTTGTAATACATTTTTGGTCAGGGAGTGAGATGCCCCTTACTTCTTGCACAGAATTGCTTTGGCAATATGGGGTCTTTATGATCCAAACAAATTATTTGATTTTTTTTCTAGATCTGTCAAGAATGTCTCTGGTAATTTGATTGGAATTGCATTAAATATGAAGATTATTTTTGGTAGAATTGACATTTTTCTTGTATTAATTCTTCCAATCCAGGAACACAGGATATCCTTCCATCTTTTTGTGTCATTTTCAATTTCTATTTTCAGATTTTCCAATTTTTTCTTGTAGAGGTCCTTGAGTTCTTTGGTTAGGTTTATTCCTAGGTATGTTATGCTTTTTCTGGTTATTTTTTATGGTGTTGCTTTCACAGGTCTACCTCAATCTGCTCATTGTTGGTGTATAGCTATGCTATATTATATGTTGATTTTGTATCCTGTCACTCTACAGTATTTATTTATAATTTCCAGGAGTTTTTTCATGGACTCTTTTGGATTTTCCATGTACAAAATCATGTCATCTGTAAAGAGAGATGATTTCATTTCTTC